TATTACTTTCCTTAAATTCGCTCCTGCTTTTACATTTTAGTGCCTGCATGTCTAGATTTTGTAATTAATTCTGTAATTCCAAATGTAAAATTTAAAGATAAACTCTTATATTACATTTATTAAGTTACTTTTATTGATTGTATATTTTACTTTTGTTCTGTATAACAATACATACTTAAATTCTACAATAAAAATTCCTTATTTTACATTATTAGGTTATGTTCGAAAATTGTTACTTTTGTGTGTCAAACTGAACCACTTTGGAAAACAGTACATTGTATTGAAAGTTTATTTCAGAATAAAGAAAGAATAAATAAAATAACATTTATGATGTTAAAAATAATATTTGTTATTGATGTTGGGTGGCAAGTCTTTTTCCAAGTTGTTACCAAGGCATAGAGGGGGGCCACCATAATGAACATCACTCCCATCAACTTTAATGAACATGAGCAAATATATGGTTCTTCCTTCAACTGCAAGGCTGGTTCTGGCAGTGAGTTTGCATCATGCAATACAAAGGTGCTACATTTTACCGGGTTTGGACTTGGAACGCCTTGTTGAATGTGAAATTACATCCCTGGCAGCAAACGTGCCAAGTTATTATGTAGCCTTTTTTTTTTTTTTTTAACTTTTCCAAATCAAGTTTTGTGCACATATCACATATTTTTAATTTTTATTTTCAGAAAGGATGTAGTTGATGCTTTGAACAAAGCTATTGATGATCGAGAAGAAGGAATTGTTGTAAAAAATCCAGACTCAACCTACAGACCAGATAAGCGGAAAGGTAGTAATAATAGTGTTAACTATAATATTAATTATCAGGAAATGAAACAGACAGAGAATCAAAAGTACTATGATATAATTCAGTAGTTGAAGCTGCTAATAATAATAATATTATACTTTATGCTTATAATACAATAATATTGCACTTCATGTAGTACACTGAGTATGGAGGTTATCCTCACATTGAAGAAATCAAATCAGATATTTGTGATATATGGTGCATAGGGTTTGAACTCGGAACCCAAAAATTGAAAGGCAATCATTTTAACCACCAAATACAGCTCTCTTAATCATAAAATTAAATCTAAATTGTTTAGATATTAGAAAGTGTCAATGTGTTATCTGAATTTCTTGTTCATGTAGGAAGTGGCTGGCTCAAGATTAAACCTGAGTATATGGATAACATGATGGATGAGTTGGATCTTCTTATCATTGGTGGCTACTTTGGCAAAGGGGTATCTACTCATTCTGATTTTGATTTTTTTTTTGTATTATTACTACACTATTATTATTGTGGCTGTAGAACTGTTTTACTGATAATAAGCCAAGCAAAATGATTGTATAATCCTTTCATTATTTTTCTAATTACTGTACATCTGTTCACTTTTTTTTTGTGCATGGAGACCCACTTATTTTGCTTAACCTTTACAATTTCTGTGGATTTAATCTGAAATGAAGTGAATGAATAAATTAATAGTATATTGAGTGTAATAACACACCCCTGTATTCACTCCTGTCTACACACATAACATTCCTATCTGCAAACTCCCTACATACTTATATTCTTGTGCATTTAAAGGCTATGATAATTGTTTTATTTCTAAACCAATTAATTCTTCAGTGACCCCTATCCACATTACAACTCCTTCTGTCACACAAACGTAACACCCTATACACATTTTATTTACTAATCATCATTCCACTTTGTTCAAGAATGTTGTTGTTAGCCATTCCAACATTGTCAAAAGATATAATTTTTTTATAATTTTGTTTTTACTTAGAAACGTTCAAGAGTGATTTCTCATTTCCTGCTTGGTGTTGCAGTTCCCCCATCAAAACAAGGTGATGAACCAAAACTGTTCAAGTCTTTCTGCAAGGTACAGAGCATCTACCAATGTAGATCTACCATACTTTAAACTAAAAAAGTATAGAAATAATCACAATGACAAGCATGGTATGTTTCACATTTTTTTTTTTTTTTTTTGCAGGTTGGTTCTGGTTATACATACAAGGAACTTTATGACCTTAATGTAAAATTAATGCCCCATTGGAAACCACTGGAAAAGGACAAGTACCCAGAACATCTGCTGCTATCCAATGTAAGTAAGTGTAAGCTGAATCACTGTGATTAATTAGCAAAGATATGGAGACATTTATTTCGAAGTTCCCTCTTTCCAAGAGGGAATGCAAATGCTTTGTGAAAATGAGTACACCATGCTAATCATTTTCACAAAGTATACACGCAGCTGGTTAGCTAACAATATGCAAATGAACACCTGGGTAGGAAGGTGCAATATCACGTTCTGTTGCCTAGCATACGTCTGTACTGTAGCATGGGGTGGGGAACTGTAAGCATACGTTGGTTAGCAAACAATATGCAATATTACATGTAACACTGGGAAGGATGGCACATCACGTTCTGTTGCCTAGCCTACTGATGTACTTTGTAGTGGGGACAGTGAGGCTATATATTAGTAAGACTAGGCCTAAGTAGACAGTGCAAATATATGTGATAGAAAGTACACTTTCGAAAGAAAAAGATTAAATTAAGAAAAAAATTGACTAAGAATAATTCAGTTGCAGATGTACCTTGTTTAAAAGAGAACTAGCAAAATGATTTTTTGTTTTAGAGAGGATTTTTGATATGCCAATAATAATAGAATCAACCTTAACATCTTTTTTTGGCTATTTTTTATGAAGTTATAGGCGATTATATACGATTTTACCATGACGTCACTGGCGAAAAAGTAACAAAAGATCGTGTAAATAGCGCTGCGTAGGGTATCCGCCGCGTACGATCTTTGCGTGCATGCTGTAACAATCACAATTTACAGCCATGGTTACAGCATACACGCAAAAATCGATTTTAAGGTTGATTCTATTATTAATGGTATATCAAAAATCCACTCTAGAACAAAAAATAATTTAAACTATTAACAACTTCTATATTCTTGATCTTCAGATGTAGTATGGTCATAGATATGGCAGACGTTTTTGTACCTTGTCTAAAATGATGATTCGAATAAAAACAAATTTATATTTGGCCAATTAGCACACTCACCGACAAGAAAAATAGAAATTTCAGAAGAAAAAAATGTTGCTTTATTTTTATTTTTTGGGCCTACCATGTTGTTTAATATGATAAATAATAAATTTAAAGTGTTAAAAATGTTGTATGTCGCAGGGAAGTATGCAAAGGAGCGGAAATCAAGCTTTAATTCTAATGATGGTCACCGAATGGGTATTTTATAAACCGAGAGAAAAAATGGAAAACAGATAGGAAAATTCATAACTGTGAGTGAGGGGACACAATCTAGTAGAGTCATTTTCATGAGATCCGTGACTAATTTTAGGATACCTTTGTTTCTCGATGGATTTGGCAAGATGGACCAATTTAGATAAAATATAGCTCCTATATACCTCCCAGATATTGGGGGAAAGTCCCGTCTGGGGGCGTTTTTCAAAATGGCCGCCTGTTGATTTGGACGCTTGTATCTCGATAAGCACTGGTCAGAGAGACTTGATTTTGGTCTCAAATTGTCCACAATATGCATGTTCCTATTTGTTGTAATACAACTTTTTATCAAAAAATGGCGGGAAATGCGGTTTTTCATAATGAATTTTTCAAACATTTTTGTCTATTTAGAAAAAAGTGCGTAAGCCATGGAGATGGTACAATCAAAAATCGATTATAAATTAAATTTTACATTTTTAGACAAAAAATAAACCCTCTTGGCCCACTGCCCATTTTGGACACCATGACCATGCGTAATATTAACCTGCTGTGTATATATATACGAATACGAATTTTTTTCTGGTAGGATCAGAGTTGACTAAACTGGTACTTGGTGTGGTACTAGGTTTATCGCATTTATGGCTTAGGGGCCGCGGATTGCCTCCCTTCGTTTAGTCATGCTGGATCAGGAGTAGGAGTTGTAAACTCGGCGATCGTGGGTTCAATTCCCACTCGGGGCAAGTTTTTTTTAAAATTTTTTATTTATTAATTTTTTTTTTTAAGGTCGTGGGTTCGATTTTTTAAGGTAGTTTAGTTGATGGTGGATAATGACTAGCAAACATGGAGGTTGCGTGTTCGATTCCCACACGAACTGATTTTTTTCCTTTTAAGGCAGTTTAGTTGATGGTGGATAATGAATGTACAGTATTGTACTCGTTGATGACGTCACGAAATAACAACAAACAACAACGTGTCATGTCCGAGCCTAGGACGTCATGGAAGCTCGCAGGCTCCTGTGTAATTCATGTTGAGCCAACTGCAGACGAAAAGGTTACAATCTTTTCAGAGATAAGCTGGAAGAAAGTTTTAGACAGTGCCCATGAATGGAAGGATTTTAATACTGAGGAATGGAAGTTAGCGAAATCCTTGGCTTGCTTAATCGTTTTTCTTCGATCGTCGCTTCCAACCGTCTAGGCGTGTCTAGCCTAAAGAGGGCCTACATAGCAGGTCGAGATCCATGAAAAGTCGTATATAAAGATGTGGGTTACCCACATCTTTATATTTGCACAAGTAATTAAAATTGTTTATTGAGCAGATGAATCACACTGATAAACAATTGTACCACATTCGGCTAATGTATATGAACTTCTATTTAGGGACATAATTTCATTATTTTCTTTCCAAAAATATTAATAAACGTTAACTAGCACCTTATATCGACTTTTGAATGGTAAAAATTGGGTCAGTATAACTCATTTTACAGAGTACAAATTTTAAATTATTAGAACATACTGCTGTTACATCTTCTAGTTTCCCCCCACCGTTGTATTTAGGTACACCATGGCTGTAAATTTTGATTGTTACAGCATGCACGCAAAGATCATACGCGGCGGATACCCTACGCGGTGGATACTCTACGCGGCGCTATTTACACGATCTTTTGTTACTTTTTCGCCAGTGACATCATGGTAAAATCTTATATAATCGTCTATAACTTCATAAAAAATAGCCAAAAAACGATTTTAAGGTTGATTCTATTATTAATGACATATCAAAAATCCTCTCTAGAACATAAAATCATTTTGATAGTTCTCTTTTAAATATTATACAATGCTAACAATGCAGCTCTTGTAGCTCTAGCTAGGCAAGGCATCCATTTGCAAAGCAGTGGTGTTTGTTTATCCATGAAAAAAGCATGCCAGGAAAGTTTGCCTTACCAGGAAAAGGTGAAGTAATCTTATGACGTATGCATAACAATATTGTAAGTGTTACGTCACCAACAAATAAAAATTTTCTATTATAACAAAAATATTAATAACTACAAGGTTTGTGGGCGTAAATTCCATAATACGAATTAAGGGTAGTACCATCTCCTTGCCATACAAATTACAGCTTCCACTGACGTCTCAGCCGAGAAATATTGGTAGCTGAAATTTTTCTCGCAAATCTGACTACAAAACCAAATCCAAATTTCACATTCCACTTCTTAATTTGAGTTGTGCTTCGCACACACCGCTGAGGGCGGCATTCCCAGTCAAGAGATTTTCAAACACTTCCACTCAACTCATATTCATCATATTATGCAAGTTGTTTTGTAAAGCTTTGTTTTACTTTTAAAATGTGGAAAGAAAAATGTTTAGGTATAGCTATTATTAATTGATAAGGCACAGTTGTAATGTGATATAATCCATTTACTTACATTTGTGTAATTTTTCTGACAGGAAAAACCTGAAATATGGATTGAGCCTTCCAAATCTGTAATCGTTCAAGTAAAGGCAACAGAAATAACATATGCAAAAGAGTGAGTTGGTTTTCATTGATAATGATCATCTTATAGTACATAATGTCAAGTCTTCTATGCCCCGGTCATTTGAGCATTCACCACCTATAAGACCCATAAATCTTATCCCTGGGGGAGTATTCCATGACATTGTTACTAAATATTAATGCAATAGCATTCAGGCCTCATCTTGCGTGTGAAAGCGGACAACATGTTTGTTCCCCCTTGCACATGCTTAATTTACATGTTGAAATTATTGGGCATTGGTGGCAACTGTATAGTTGGTGTTTTTGTATTACAGTATTATGCATCAGTAAGCCTCCTGGTATAAGTACAGGATTGTCATTTACAGAGCATAGGGACCACTTTCAATATTCAATATTTTAATTTAAAAAAAATACAAGTATATAAATTGCTTCTTTTACATGACAATTATTATAGTAACAATTAAAATAATATTTTATTTGTGCAAATAAATTTTATATCATTATTCTTGAAAGATTTGTAATTTCAAATTCCCATGTGTAGTTTTCATGTTTTTCGTGAAATTCTTTATATAGGAGCTTATGTCTTATGATATTTTAGTAACTGTATGTATTTTATAAATGAAAGTGAACTTGTACATTCAACTAAGTGAATTAAATAAGTAAGTTTATATAATACTTAGATGTGTATTTTTAATATTTAATGTTTGCTTTTTACATCTTGTAGCTACAAGACTGGGTGTACTTTACGTTTTCCACGTGTAGAGAAACTGCGGGATGACAAGGCATGGAACCAGTGCATGACTGCAGATGAACTAGACAATTTAAAGAAGGTAAGCAATTGATTTTAATGAATTGATATATTACAGAGAAGCTTAATGCTTGGGTAGGATTTGAATTGAAGTGATTCTTTCATTATTTATTATCTTAGACAGCCAGGAGCAGATAGCTACTGTACCTATTGGATACTGATATAAAAACATGATTGGTATAAACAGCCTTATCTAAGACCTTGTATTATTAAAATTTCACTCCATAGCAACAATGTTATTAGACTTTTGGCACACATTTGCAAGCTAAGCTTATTGTATTCTGCAGCAGTAATACACTATGTATTTAAAACAAATGGTTAGTACATTTATAAAAGATCCTCAACTCCAAATAAAGTGGTAGCTCTTCTTGTATATCATTTTTTCCCTACCAGACACTATTCAGGTTTTTCGGCCGGAGCCCAGCACAATATTTACATACAATACTATGATTACTGTCCTTTACAAAGACAGAAAAAAAATAATGTTCAACAATTTCTCATATGTTTTCAGAGAAACCTTCACTGATTATATTTTAGATGATGGATGATAATAAAATAAAACTATGTAGCAATTAAAAATGTTTTTACTGCACAGTTAGCAGACGGTAAATTAGCTTCCAGACATGCTGTTCATGATGATGATAACCAGGACATTCAACCTCAAGTAAAGAAGAGAAAAGTTACCTCCCGAGTAGAACAAAAGGCTAGTGTGGCAGAGAGATTCAGGGGTGCGGACACTTCCAGTCTCAAACAGGTTTGTGTTATATTTCATTTATATTTTTTTTATTACCTTCAAATCAAAAATTAATTACACTCAATTTTTACAGGATGTAAGATGCTCCATAAAGTAAGTCTCATTTGAGGCTGACTGAGTGGAGATTTTTTCAGAATTTTGACCCAGGATCAGAAGGCAAGTATCTGAACCAGAGATTCAATTCAATGTACAGTACAAATTTAGATTTATACTTCCTCACAACAATGAACAAACAGTATTTAAAGAGCAGTACATCAGTAAAAGAAAACAATAAATAAAAGTGGAAGTAAAATAACTAAAAATACATAAAATTAAAATGGAATAAAGATATATTTATTTACAGAAAGATTGATTCACTAATTGATTCTATTGACATTTTTCTATCTTAAGATCTCCAAACTGTTTGAAGATATGGAGTTTTGTATCTTCAATGGACCAAGTGATTATCCGAAAGTTGAACTTGAAAAGAAGGTTGTGGAACATGGAGGCAAAATCACGCAAAATCCCAGCGTCGACACTTACTGTGTAATTGCTGAGAAAATCAATGTCAAAGTTCAAAATGTCATAAGGTGAAAAAATTTGAAGCTTTTTCACTTTTAAATAATTTTTATGTCTATGTGTATGTAGTTTTTAAAATGTTTAAAAGACAATAATGATTGATAAATGGATTGATTGACAAAAGGGTGGAATTACCATGGTAGAGTATTAAATTGATGTCAGAGCATTATTGATTGATTAATATTAATTTGTTGTGCTTTTTTGACATTTCAGTTCTGGTGAACAAGATGTTGTACAGGCATCTTGGTTAATTGACTGCCTGGTGAGTTTTTATCATCTTTAATGTTTGCACAATTAAAACAGACACATTACAAATAGAAAAATATAATTAGTGTGACTTGCAAATATTATTTATATTTTTTAGAAAACTAAACGTAGGTTACCATGGTTACCACATCACATGATACATAAATCCCATGAGACTGCTGCCTATTTTGAGGTGCATTATGACTCTCATGGAGACAGCTACACTGAGGATGTTACAGTTGACAAACTACAAGAAATATTTGAAAACATAGGGAAACAGGTGACATCTCTTTCTGTAAGCTCACTCTTTCTTTGCATGCCCTTAAATTTCACAATAGAGGATAAATTGAGAAATGAAAGGCACAATAAATTTATTCAATGATTATACAAAGCAAGTTTTGCTAGCACCTATGCATAAAAACAGTTTACAAACTAAACACATCACACTTTTTTTTTTTACACACATGAATGCTTTAATAATTCCTATGTTGTTTACTATTTTGTTGGTGACATACACATAGTAATAATGAATTTAGTCTCTGTGCACACATAAAAATAACTGTTGTATGCCCAAATATTGTCACGATATGCCTATATATAGGGTCATGATGTGGTATCATCATGACCATATTTAGGCGTGTCAAGTGATTTTGTCAAATGAAATTTGATAGTCTTAAGGTACATTTGTAATTTAAACAATAAGTCCTAATACTAAATATGTAAAAAGATAAGGCTGTGCAGAAAATTTTAGATAACCACCCCTTCCCCTTTTTTCATAGACATCCCTGTCAATTTTCCACTTTTTCCATGAATCCTTGTAACTGAATGGTTGCATCACTTTTATTACAGGGCGGCAATTGCAGATTAAGTACTTTAGAGATCGCTCAGATTGAACATGAGTATTTTCCTGATGAATCTCCTTTGGGTTTGTTTCGTCTCTGCAGAGTCTACATGGACAAGAATCTCATCATTGATGACCCTACCACCGTAAGTACCTTTATGTAGTTTTTCCAATTTCATAAAAAGAGGGACAACATTTTCTTTGTCACAAACTTTCCGAGACACTGTCACTGCACTGAGTGTGTCTTTTGAAATGGTACAAAAATTCGAGTCATATGTAAATTGCGGCAAAAATTAAGAATTTATTTTCTTCACTTTGACCGTGTGACACACCAAAACCATACATGCAACAGTCCCTGTGTTTTGCTTCAAAAAAGCTATTATGATACATGATTACATTCTCATGTGGACGAATTCTCGTTACCCAGTAGCATAGTACAAAATAGTCTAATATTTAAATACCATAGCATATCACAATAGCATTCTATTGGTATAGCATAGCATGGCTATATCTCAAAACTGTAACTTTAGCATTACTCTGGCTCCAAAATTTTTTGTGGATTTTTATAGACATTGTACAACCACAAGCAAAAGACTTCACTCCACAGTATTCTGCAGCTATCACTTAAGTATATGCCAGCGCACCACCAGTTATGCTAACATACCGTATCCACTTCGGTACCATAATTTTGAGCTATTGCAGGTTGTACCTTCTCATACCACCCCTTTATTTGGTCCCTTATGTTATCCACTACCAACCATGCTTGTGAGTTGGACACTTGCAATATATATACAAATTACCTAACTCCATGCTTGTATTTTTGCATCTCAGAGGATTAATATTCCCCAGATCACCCCTTGTTTGCAAGACTGGAACTAAACTAACATCTATGATCTTGTTTACAAAAAACCAATGCCTCACCAAAGATAACTGCATTTTCTGTTAAAATCCTTGATAGTACTTCATCGGTGTCACAAATTTCCCTGGGACCCTACTAAATTGCATTTGTGTGGTAATGTTGTTGTTAGGACTTTTTATAGCTCCATGATTAAACCATAGCTTATTTCAAATGAAATTTTGAAAACTGTATATTACAAAAAGGAACAAAGTTACGCATTCAAAACAAATTTTCGCCAAATACGAAGCAGCATCCAAAGTAATCAGGTCTTTACAATTTTTAAAATTAACACATGCCGCATTTATTTAACAATGGCCTTCTGTACTTTTAGTACAGTATGTTGATCCACGGAGGTATAAATATTATTAACTCTAGGCCCGTTATCTTTATCACTTGATACTATGGAGGACAGACAATAGGTCTAGAGAATTTGACAAACATAATCTCGAGAGACTGTAACATTACAATCCCTGCGAACTATTTTATAAGAAAAAATATATGAAGATACTGGCAATAAAAACCCAAAATTTTAATCTCCAGAAGCACATTTTCTACAGAACACTTAATGAAAACCCTCCCTCTGTTCTGTTAAATTTGAATTACCATTCTTTTGGTTTGTTTGATACTTGAATGCTGATTTCATCTATTTTAAGTTGTTCATGTCGGATTTTTTACATTAGGAAATAAAAGACAGCACATTAGAGATGGTTGCCTTGGAGATGAGGTTCCATGGTGCAACTCTTGTTGATGTACTAGATGATCAAGTATCTCATATTGTGTTTGATAAAAGGTAAGCTTCCTGATAAATTTCAACTCTAATTAGTACATTGCATTTCCATTTTACTGATATTTTCTTTAATGAGCATTTGGCTGAGAAGTATAATGTTTCTGCTTTTTGCAATGAAGACCCCTCTTTATCACAGCTATTGTAGGTTTTTCATAGGAGTCTGGTTACTTGGCTCCTTGAATATCCCTCACATTGAGAGTTAAGGAAAATGCTTGTGTCCATATGTATCCATTACATGTTGCAGTTAAATTAGTTGGCGCTGCACTGCAGCTGCTACAATTCCCCAGTGGCCCAGCCTGACCCTGGTATTCTTAAAATTAACTTTGGTCTTAGTTCGCGCTAAAATTAAGTCTTTAATGCATGTAATATGTAATAATATTTGTACTATTTTTATATATATGTTATTTTTCTTTTGTCTTAGTGACTTGACAAGATTAAAAGAATTCCGAAATTTGAACCATGATCTGCAGAAGAAGCGTCACCTGGTTTCAACTGCTTGGGTGAAATCATGTGTAGAAGACAAAAGATTGAAACGAGAAAGAGATTATGAGCCAGATGCTCCAGTATGAAAGAGTCTAGATAATTCAATTTTAATGAAGTGGGGTACAGACAGTGTTGCACAGCGCTGCAATCTTGAGGTCCTGGGTTAAAACCAATGTTGGTCACACTGCTTGTGTATGGGCAAGACACACTATGTATATGTCCTCCTCTTTTCACCTAAAATGAATGCAAGTGGGTACCTGGTAGGAGGTGAATGATTCCGTGCTGAATTACACCTCAGGAAGAAGAGGAATTCTGTGTATGATTGATTTCTAAAATATATAGTATTAGTGGAAAACATCACTAAATATTGATGTTTTTGGATGATGATATGCCACACTAACAGTGGCAGATTGAATGGGTCCAGAGATATGGTGGGGGAACAGTTTTTTGCACACACAATGAAAAATATTGCTAATTTTTATAGTGAAATAAATTCTATGATTGTAATTGCTGTGCAGGTTTTTCCTTGATCCACATAGTATCAGGGGTCCCAATGCAGAAGTCGCCAAAATATCAAAATGGTCTCCCGCATTCTTGCAAGCAAGGTGGATTTTGCATGTTTTTACTACTGTAATTTTAATTGTCTTCATAAAGTATGCTAGTTATGGGGTTTCACTATAAGCAGAAAAACACAATCTCATTAAAAACTGTGTCTCCCCAAAAGTGGCCTCTTCAAACTTGGGACCCCAGCAATGTACAAGTGACTGTCTGGTTGGATGCTCTGTATTGGGAAAAAACAATGTTATAAAGTATTTGTAAAGGATAATTTTTTGTATGTATAACCTTGAAATATTCAATTTTTGATAAGATAATTTTAAAATATGTAACATTCCTTGATAATTATGCAATGAAAAAATTTTCAAAGCATGACTTTGACATTATCTAATTGTCAACAGAGGCACTTTTGTCCTGTGTCCAGAAGTGTAAAGGAAAAGCTATATTATGCTACACTGGTACATGGAACCCATCTACAAAGAAAAATGTCTCTGCTGGAAAGAATACATAGTCGACCTGCATGTTTCGTCTGCAACAACTATTCTCTGAAGAGCAGTGTGACAGATACTAATTTTGAACAACATTAGAAGAAAGGCAAGAAATAAATCAATTTGCCTTCCTTTATAAACTTTTCAATATAGTCTTGATTAAACCAGATGCCTGTGTACCCAAGGTGGATAGAAACAGAAGATGCAACAAGGCTCAACTAGACGAAATCACAACTGAAACCAATGTTTGCATGCATTCATTTTGTCAAATCCGGGTTTAATCCGGTTATAAATACATTTAGCATTAGACAATAGCATTCTCATAAGGTATGAGAATGCCATTTCCAGGTGGGTGTGTACTGTCATGCTGACCCAATTCTCCAATCCCCAAATATATAATTGCGTATATCTGGCAACAAAAGTAATAAATTGGTAGCTCATGTAATGTTTCTTACGTTCTTCTTGGGTGGTTTGTCGCACATTGGAGTTATGATCACAATTCAAAGATATCATTTTCTTGTATTTCCAATATTTTAATGTTATTTTTCTCTAAGTTCCCATCAGCATCAGGGGCTTAAGCCCAGACCTCCCTTTCTAACTGACTATATCGCATTTCTGCGTCTGAAAGAGCACGGCTTGCGCAACTAATTAACGTATCACCTTGTCGTAAGATCGCACCTAATCCTACTGGACTCGCATCAACAGTAAGTATAGTTTATTTATGTCAAAATAACCCAATACTACATTAGAGCAAATAGCTTCTTTAAAAGCATTAAACGCTGCTTCTAGATGAAAGAATTACCTTTCTTAGTTAGGGAGCGTATGGGTGCAGATTATGTACTTAACTGTGGAACCATCATGGAAGGTAAACCCAACATACCCAAAAATGACCGAACTTCAGAAATATTTTCTGGACGCCTTAATTCACGAATTGCTTTAATACGCTTTTCATCTGAACGCATACCATTCCTATCAAAAATAAATCCAAAGAAAGATATTTCTGAAACAGAAAATTTGCACTTTGGTAATCTTAATGTTAGTCCCTTTTCAGACAAACGGGATAAACATTGATTTAAAGCTTGGTCACGCGCAAACTGATCCTTGCCATGGATAATTATATCATCGGCAATATTTTCTACTCCAGGTATATTTTGTAAAATTAATGACATTTCATTTTGGCAGATTTCAGCTGCTGCATTTACACCAAAGGGAAGTCGCTTATATCTCCTAAGGCCTACATGACTACTTATAGTTGTAATATTTCTAGACTTTTCTGAAAGTTCAAACTGTAAATAATGTTTATTGGCATCTAACTTACTAAATACAGTTGAACCATTAAGTTTAGTACGTATTTCCTGAACTGTAGGAGTTACATGACGTTCTCTTTCTATAGCCAAATTTGGAATTCTATAGTCACCACAAATTCTAACATTATCCGTACCAGGTTTAGGAACAATAACAATTGGACTAACCCAAGGTGTTGGACCTTCTACCTTCTCTATAATATCTGCGTCCTCCAAAGCTTTTTACTCTGTTTCAACCTTTTGCCTTAAATGGTATGGAATACGTCTGTGGTTCTGATTAACAGGCTTAACATTTTGGTCAATATGCAATTTTATCTTTTTATCCGTATATTTTCCCATGCCATTAAACACATTTTCATGCTTTGATATTATTTCTTTTACAGATACTGGACAATTAGGGATTTCTAACATATCATTGGTCGTATTTACACCTTTAACATTATGCATTTCACATTTTGTCTTACCAAATTTCTCTGAGAAGGAAACATCAGGATGATTAGAATTGACATGTATAAACCCAAGTTTACTAGCAGAAGGATATCCAAAAATAGATGAATCCTTAGTATCAACAACAACAAACGTTAACAATTCAAATTTATCACCAAAATTAGCCATTGCTTTTGTCGTTCCTAACACATTAACTTTGTCTTGTTGACCATAAACATACATATTCTTATCTGTTGGTTCAAGTGTTAAATTGTTGTTAATATTAATCATGTTAAAATCAGCCTTGTTTAAAACATTACAAGATGCACCAGAATCCAACAATAATTGAATAGACCTATCATTAACTTTTAGAGTTACAAATGGTAATTTACCAGCATAATGAATGTTAGAAAGGATATTGAGCAAGTAATCTTCACTACTGTCCGTACCATCCTGATCATCTGTATAGACATGCTTAACATCTTTAGCACCGTCATGTCGCTTGGCAGTAGTAGTACCATATTTTGTTGACTTAGCTTGAGGTATTCTGCTTCTCTTTCTTCAACTTTGGGCAATAACGAACAAAATGTCCATTTTCATGACAATAATTACATTCTTTATTCTTTAACTTTCGGCAACAACTAATAAAGTGTCCAATTTCATGACAATAGTTGAACTCTTTATCCTTAGCAGGGCAAGCACTATTATGAGGAAGATGTCGACCACAATAAAAACAAGGACGTACCGATGTGTTATTTCGCTGACTTGTCCTCCAAAAATTACTGCGTGACTCGTGCGACTTCACCGGTCGCCTCTGGTTGGATGACATAGGCTCAGAGAATCTGTTAGCTATATCATGTGGTTGATGAATGTCATCCATTCCATGAGATTCACGCTCTGAAATTTCAAGGGATCTAGCCAACTTAATAATATTGTTCAAAGACATATCTTCTTGTAATGCTCGTCTGCGAACATTTTCTTTTATTTCGACCGCCTTGAATAATTTGATGTTTTATTTCAGCATCCCTTGACTCCTGACTATCAATACCACAATTACTAATCAATCTACGTAGACGAGTAACAAACTGGTACATATTCTCAGATTCATGCTGTAGAGTGCGTCTAAACTGAAAAATTTCATACTCTGTGTTTTTCTTTGGAAGAAAATAATCTTCCAGAGCCTTAACCTGCTTTTTATAAACATCATCATCTCCACTGGGTAATATGAGAGTTTCTGCAATATCAAACAAATCTTCATCACCCCTGTCTAAAAGAAGAGCTCGTTTCTGTTCTGGATCAGTAACTTTCCATGCTATTAAACTATTTTCAAAACGTGCCAGCCATCTTTTCCAGCGTACCGATAATGTAATGGACTCGTCATGAACATCAAATGGAGTTATCTGGGTAAACATCAACCCTTGTTGAACAGCCATCATCCTATCCTCGTCGCCATTGTAGTAGATGTGTTCACACAAAGGAGTATACTCAACAACTGACTATACTGTACTGTTCTGTTACATAACAGTCCTTTTAATAACAAGCATTTGCACATTGAACAATTTACATATAAGAATTTACATATTAACTAATCACTACAAGGACCGACTCAGTTCCCTCCGAATGAAAGATGTTCTTCTGTTGTTCGAATATTGGACTTTGGTGAAATATATTTCCTTTATCCCCGATGACACAGTAAAAACGAACGTACTGTCCGGCGTTGTCTATCGTGAATCGATGAAATCCCTTTACCAGAAAACCACGCTTCACGAAGAAACCTTAGGAAATCTCGTCCCACTTACGCATTCTATGGGCTATTTTTCTTTGCAACTTTTATTTTCATCAACGTCTGCACAGGATGCATTCGACTGAACACTATATCTTATTCGTTGAAAATCTTCTAAAATATATGCCACAGCTTCCATCTCGTTACTGGTCATCTCCTTGCGAAAATTCAGGTTTCTAGAGTTTTATTATTCAACATTCGTTCAAGATTTACGGGCGCCAACGCAAAAGTCGCGAGCCCGTGCGCACAGGGGATCTCTGCATCGAAGAACGAACAACTTCGTTCGCCCTCCTCCTAGCTTCTTGTTGTGAAAGACCAACTCGTCCCTTCTCGTCGCTCGTTCCTCTTCGATAGGCGTCGTCACGACTATGGAACAGCAGTTCGGTATCACAACCTCGGATCCATCCGAGGATGCGACAGTAAGTTTGATCGGCACTCTTTCGACGGCGACTCAATCCTCTCTCAATCGATCGGGAGCACACGACTCCGGTTTCGACGGGCACCTCTTTTGGTGGGCATCCAACAGACCGTTCGCGTCAATGAAGTTGTTGCGACACGCCACGAATAAAGGGTGCTGAGAAGCTCCCTCGTGCCTGACGTACAATAGTACGGCGCCGGCCGGAACAGACCAAGCGAGGCGCACACTCTCCTGAACTTTGGAGCGTTCGTTTCCTTCTTCGACAATCGGCGAACGCTCGATAACGAAATCGTCTTCGTCCTCTTCAGACTGTCCGCGACGGCACAGGCGCAGGCCTCCAAAGCCGACGCAGGATCGTCGTGCGTCAGCACGAACTCCACCAACTTCCGGTCCAGCTTGAAAACTAGAGGTTCGGTGTCGTCCCTCACGTTCCGACCGTGCCGACGGTTCTGTCTTCGAGCAGGTACGCGTATCTCTTCTTCGCCGTCGTCAGCAGCAGCCGTCTGTACGTCTCCCTCCGAACGAACTTCTACCATTCGTTTTCGCCGGCGGTTTTTTTCGAACTCCAGCTCCATGTCGGGTTTGCCGTTCGCCCCGACCTTCACGAACAAGTCCGTATCTCCGTAAACGACCCGAGCGCCGTTGCGTTCGCGAAATTCTTCAACTTGGCCAGTGGTCTGCAGCTCGTGGTTGTAGAATCGACCTCTTCCCGAGTTCGCCAGGCATCCCATGCATGCGTTCGCCACCCTTTCGTATGCGGCCGATCGTTCCGGTCGTTCGTCCCGTCCTCGCACCGTCGACGACGAACCTGGGATAGTAGGACTTGCAGTCGTACACGTTCACGTGATCGTGGATGCCGGGCACTGGTTCGAGAACGAGACCTCCACCTCCGGCCGGCTCTTCCGCCGTCTCTCTTTGACGGGGAAACACGATTCTGCGTCTCACCGCCTCCCTGCAGAGAATGGACAACAGCATCTGCTTCCTGGTTCCTCCGGTAAAGGTACCCGTCAACCTGGACGCGTCGAGGGCGGTTTCCACCAAACGCCTGCTGCGCACCTTGCGTTCGTAATATCGGAGGACAGACAGCTCCTCATCCAGCACGTCGTCGGACGTTCGTGCAGAAAGTTCGTTGCAAGATCTTTTGCTCGCGTACTCGTACATGGAATGGCGATCGCGGCACCCGTCGGCCTCCTCGGAGGTGTCGACGCATATCGGCCATCGAGATATCGGCAGGTCGCACGCCGAGCATCTGTTCGTCAAAGCAATCTTCACCACTCTCTGTGATACGCGAGAACGTCGGCGGATTTCACAAGGTTCGTTAAACAGCGCAGCACCTCCCTCTCCTCGGGCTCCTTCGACAGCCTTCTGTCGGAGAGGACGATGGCCGTCACACATCCGGTCACGTGGAGTCGAAAGGAGAGGTACAGCACGGACGGCTGCACGGGATCGGTTTCCTCGAGTTCCAGGAAGGTTTGTTCGTCGTACTCGAATTTCTCGAAGTATCCCTTCTCTTTCGAAGTGCATCGGTGCCAAGCGCAGCCGTGCACGCCAACGGCGCACTGCGCGTCCAGGTCGTTGACGGCAGACGGCAGGTTACCGAACGTGTTCTCCACGGGGATGCCGTTCCTGTCCAGTGACCTGAGTGCGCGGTACGTTCGACCCACGGACTCGTATTTGTCGCCTCTTTGTGAAGTCACATCGCAGTCCTTTTCTTCGGCGTAACACAGGAATTCAACCTTCGTACTCTCCAGGTCAACCAGACGTCCGTCAAGATTTTTTCCACGAACGGACAACCTTCCGGTTATCTTTGAACATTTGACGTACATGGCAATTTACAGAGGGACAACTATATATATTTAAAAAAACATTCGCTTACAACAGATTATCGTTAAATGATTTCTTTTATTATTCTATTTTCAATTAATAGAAAGAATCTAATTATTATCTGTACACCTTCGTACCGTCCAGAATCAGCCATTTCGACAGCCTCCGTTCGATGGGACGTCTGCACGTCGGACAGTTGTTCACCCGCTTCGAGCACGATCGACAAGACACAAAATGTCGGCAAGGCATCGTCATCACCTCGGAGTACGCGTTCAGACACACCTGGCATCTGTCGCTGTCCTCCAGCGTCCGGAGAGACATCGAAAAGAAACCGGGACACAATTCGTTCAGCACTTCGCCCACCGTGTAAGCGACAATTTCCTTCCAAGGATGAGACAAGAACGCTTTCTGTGCGATCGCGAAAACGTCCGCCAGGCGATCTCATTCGACAGGCCGGTCGCCGAGAACGGCAGATATCCAATCCACCGCAGACGGGCGATCGTATCCTTTCAGACGAACGTCTAACCTTTCCGTACGGGGGTTAGACGCCGTCCTGTTCAACGGGTCGTCCGGGTTGCGATGCACAATGCAGCGTCTGGCGATCTGAAAGGGAGGTGGAGACACGCGCTGAGACACTGACTTGCATGCAGTACTCAATCTGTCGATCTCTCGTATTACTTTCAATGATCCCAGACACATCTTTTTCACGGATAGTACAAAAATATTGGGTTTCCCACTCCTCGTCGCCGACGGTTGGGTCGATGACGTGTTCGTACTCGTCGAAAAGTCGAAAAAAAAAAATCGGTTTACCTTATCGCCGTACAACTCGGCTTCGTTTATCGCTTTTGCAAACAATTTGAGGAGTCTCGTTTCGGCCATCGTTTCTTCGAAAGCGAACTTGCGAATGAGATAAACCTAGCTGTGGTAAACTTTGACGACTTCACCGACTTTTGTACGACAGATCGGACACGACGCTAACCTGACGGAACACGAGTCGCAGCAGACGAGATGGTTGCATGGCGTCAGGACGTTATAATCGCGATCCATGCACACCTTGCACGTCATATCGTCGTCGTCGCCGCGTACCTTGTGCATATTACTTTCCACGGTCGCACGAACTCCTTATTCTTCTTCCGGGCGTTCGTCTTCGGCATCTTCTACCAAGCGAAGTTCGGCGATCAGAGCCACCAAGCCCTCATGTTTCGACGGATCGTCGTCCCCGTCCTTTTTTCTGTCGGCCCTTATTTTATCGATTATGCTCCAGAC